GGTGAGAGAAGAGAGTCAGAGAGAGAGAGAGAGAGAGAGAGAGAGAGAGAGAGAGAGAGAGAGAGAGAGAGAGAGAGTAGGAAGTTGGGAGTCGGGTACTTACCTGCTGGGGATATCGGATGTGTGGAGCGGCGCAGTCCACTGGTTACCTGAACTCTTAACTGTATAATTTGATAATTCGTTGAAGTTTCTGAGCGTTTCTAAGTCTCTGTGCTAAATCTCTGGTGTGGTGTGAATCTTCACGTGAATTCTCATGATTGCAAATCTGATTGAGGGGGAAATTGAGAGCGGTTCATTGCGGAATCAGCCTTTGTGGGAGGGGGCAATTGGTGTGACCTAGTAGGAGTGACCTTTCAGGCTGTGCAGGCCCCCATAGGCACAGGTGAAAAAGGGTGGTTGGAACCACCAGTTCACACAAACGTAAGTAGCGCTCTTACCCGTATACGCTGTAAGAGCACTTGGCTGGTAGTGAATACAGCAGGCCCCTTTGGAAAAGGCGCAGTTGCAGGCTACCGAGCAGGCCCCCATAGTAAGAGTGACCTTTCAGGCTGGGCAGGCCCCCATAGGAAGGTAGCTTCGTCACCTTAGGCACGAGTGAACCCCCGGTGGTTTAATCACTTGATGGGTAAAAAGCTCCTTATACGACCAGGACATCCAGGGCCATGCCCCAGTTATGGAGGTTTGGCTTTGGTTTTAGTTTGGAGTTGTGCAACAGCCCAGATGCAAAAGAAAAAATTAGGCAGCTCTTTATCTGAGGCCATTAGATCATGGACTGCCCAAATAGATCAGCTTTATCAATTATGAAATTGAACAGAAAATGAAGAAAAGTTCAAAAAACTGTGACAGAGTGTACCTGATGACTGAGGGACCAACCACAGCCTTCTCTTTTTTTTTCTTTTTTTTTTTCTTTTTTTTTTGTTACATCCGCAGCCTTCTTCAGGTGCATGAGCCTTTCCGAGGCGTGCTACAGCCCAGATGCAAAAAAGAAAAACAAGGGCAAGATCCCACTGGCGAAAACGATTGAAATAAGTGTCTGAATCTGGACGTGTTTGCGGAGAGGTGCAAAAACTGTAATTGATCTGCTTTCCTGCATCTCTTCCTGGAACACGTCCTGATTCAGACACACTTAGTCCAATCCTCTTTGCCAGTGGGATCTGGCCCTAAGGCAGCTCCTTATCTGAGGCCGTCAGCTGAAGACGCCATTCTTAGTTCGTAAATCATCATTCTGCTACAACCAGGGCCGGACACCTGGGACTCAGACTCAGGGTCTCGCCGCACGGCACACACGAAACGACAACGAAACGAGTGCATGTGCCCACGAAAGGTGGCAAAATGCACTCGTTACTATTTATAGCAAACCGATGAACCTGGTCATTTTCTGCAGGAAGATGCACTCGTTTCGTTCTTCGTTCCGTGTCCCGTGCAGCGACGCCCTCAGTCATGGAAAGATCAAGGATGTATCTAAGGGACTCTGGACCCGGTTTCCAGCAGGTGCTGCTCCCCACCAATAGATCGGAGCAATCGGCAGGTGCCTACTAGGGGTAGGCGCTCCTACCACCCTCCGCCTAGCAGGCCAAAGCTGGCTTTTTTCTCAGAAAAAAAAAAAGAAGAAGAGGCCGTTGGATCATGGACAGCCCAAATAGCTTATTCCAGGCTAGACAAAGAGTACAGCCTAGTTTTCTTCCTCCGGTGGCTCATGTACCTGCAGAACGCTGTGTGGGTCGTCAGGTGCACTGTCTTACAGTCTTTCCTTCATTTTCTTTCCAATTTCATAATAGATAATAAAGCTGATCTATTCGGCCAGTCCATGATCTAACGGCCTCAGATAAAGAACTGCCTCATCTTTCTTTTGCATGTGGGCTGTGGCACTCGTCCAAACCGAAACCAAACCTCCCCAAGTGGGGCATCGAAACCAAACCTCCCCAAGTGGGGCGTGGGCCTCAAGCCCATCCCTGGAGCCCACCAAGCTTTGCCAAAATGCCAGGGCGGTGATTTTTTTTTTGAGAGAAGATTAGCATGGCCCCTGCGCAAGGATGACACGCATTAAAAAAAAAAAAAAAAAAAAAGCCAGGGCGGTGATTTTTTTTTGGCCAAAAAAAAAAATAATAATAATAATTGGCCTTCTTCGTTTTGCCTTTTAGAAATTTTGGTCCGGTCCGGGGCAAGGTCCCACTTGCACGGATTACGAGATTCTGGCCGTTGATCTTTGCTATCCTATCTACACTGATTCTACAGTCAATATCGCTTAATTCTTAATTCGTGTAAGTGGGACCTAGCCCGGGGTAACACTGGTCAGCCGGAATACAATTGGCTTTTCAATAAAAAAAATAATAAAAAATAATAATAATAAATAAATAAAAACGATTGGCACAAATTCCATTATGAAATATGCCTCGCCAATGAACAGGCGGCGGTTTATGCTGGACTTAATCCCATGAGATTTGAACATTCTCTAAGCCACAGTCCCCGGAGCAATGGTCGCACTTGAAACGGGGATTGGATTAAGATCCAGAATCTGGGCGAGTTTTAGGCAGAGATGCAGAAAAGGAGTTCAATCTCGATTTTCTGCAATTGTCCACAAACGCGGCCAAATTAAGGCGCTCAACCCGATCCTCTTTTTGCTAGTTGGACCTCGCCTCCGTAGCACTTGGACTCTACCTAACAGGAATATGTTTTGGATGAATAGGGGGGCGGTCTCCAATTGTGAGAGCCTTACAAGGAAACGGACGGATCTTCATTCCCACTTCATGCCTCCGAACAGTTCTGCATCGGCACCCCTCCCGTTCCACCTGCCCACCCATTGCGCCCACCTGCACCTCCCGATGTGGGCGGGGGTGAGGGGCGGACCACGTGGCCATTCGAAGCTGAATGATCCATCGCCACTTCAAAGGCAGAGCGGAGCCAGACTGGCCCTCCCACCCTCTTACCCTCCACCATCGCCTCTCTCTCTCTCTCTCTCTCTCTCTCTCTCTCTCTCTCTCTCTCTCTCTCTCTCTCTCTCTCTC